GGCTGCTCCTCGTCCTGGTCACCTGCAAACAGGAGCGTTTGTCGCAGCTTGTGGTGTTCCAGCCCTCGACAAATCTCCTATTATGTTCTCCTGTCGCCTGTCAGCTGCAAAATTCGAACACACTCCCATCTCTTCTCCCTTCATTGTCCTCCTCTTTCGCTTGCGCTTGTCTACACTTGTTTGCTGTCAGGGAGCCGGGTCCTCTGACACGCCCCTTTGCCAATGTTTTGCCTCTTGTCCCTTCATCATTCTCCTCTTGTCTGAGCGCTGGTCTAAGGCCCCGTGCCCGAAAAAGAACAATTGCCTTTCCGAAGCTTCGGTGTGTATTGACGACAGTCCGTGATGTTGTAGGCGTAAACAGAGTTGGATTTCGCAAGAAGTACTGCATAACCTGTGCTTTGTACAGGCCTTTTTGTGGAGTGAATACTTGTAAGCTCTTGCGCGCCTCGCCTCGGCAGCCGGGCTGGCCCAACGCGATGTGTAGTGTGCGCATCGCAGGCGAAGGAAAGCCAAATCCCATGTCACATGCTGCAGCACCACGCACATCATGTTCAGGAGGTAGGAGGGCTTGGAGTGGGATTTGAAGTGGGTGAGGGGTCGGGGTCCCAGGGGGTTCCCAGCAGAGGGTCCCAGGGAAGGGTCCGTGTTGGGGTGTTGAGGTGGGGGGGTGCCACTGCTTGATCTGATCGAGTTTTGCCCGGACTTCCCCAATAAGGCCACCCCAAAAAAAGAGAACCGAACATGTGACCATGCGGCCGCAGGGCTGGACGGCGTCTCTGCGGGCATTTTCAGAAGAGGCCTTCCATTTCGAAGCCCTTCAGGGCCTCAAGAGGGGCTCTACACCGCATATATAGGGGTTGTACTCTATTAGGATTTTACGGGGTGGGTCCCTCCGATATTTCGGGTTCTTTGCTCGTGGCAGGTGCGACGCATCTCCGGCGAGGCCCGTGATGCCCCGAGCCCTAAAATCCCATTGCAACCCTGCAATCCCTTCGAATTTCGATTTAGGGTTAGGGTAATGTATGTCTAGGGTTCCATTTTTAGGGTTTTTAGGATTACCCAAAGCCCTACTCCCCCTGCTTTTGCGGAGGTCGCACGGAGCCAGAGCCAGCTTGAGGTGAAGACCTTCTTCGACCTCCAGGCATACGATAGCGTAGCGGAAGGTGACGCGAACTTCATTCTCCAGCCTTCATCCTCTTCTTGGGGGCCCTACACCTGAAGGCCCCTATCAAAATAGATAGGTACACTATCCTAATGAAGGGAACCCCCCCCTCATGGTCGTGCCAGGGCTACAATCTGGAGAGCTTTGCGACAAGAACAAAAGGTGAGCCAGGCTCCCTACTGCTGCCTTGCCTGCTCGCTTGGTTCACTTCAAGCTGCCAAGAAGTAGAGCGGTTTGGCACTTTAGTTTAGAGTAGGGGGTCGTCTCTATAGCTGTGCCGTGAATATCCTGTATCATGTACTCCAGACAATTTTTTTGCATCTTGTACCCGATGCCTTCTGTGCACGCTGGTTCTTTCAACTACCGATTCGGAGACTTGCACAGGGCACACCACCTGCACATTAGACATGAAGCTAGTCAATCCTGGAGGCGTGCACTTCTGGGGCCCTTCTAGCTGAGATATTTGTGTCTTCTCTTTCACCAAGCCAGGATATACATGTTCTACTCGAGGATTTACGACAAGATCGCCTCGGCCTCGGGAGCGAGCCAGTAAGAACATGCGGTTTTTCGCGGTGGAATGTACTCGAGTGGATGTGTTGCATGTTGCTTTTTTGCCTTCACCTATGGACCTGTGCTTCTTGGGCTTGGCTCGGCTCAAGCTTGATGCGAGCAAGGACTGGGCGCGCAACATGAAATTGAAGAGGTTTCTGCTACGCTACGACCCGCCGGGAGTTGGCCTCGAAGTGGAGGCTGATGACCAGGTCACTGTGCAGCACAAGAACCTGCCTGCAAAGTCTGAGGTCACCACATCGCAGGATATCCACACCTTGGTCGACCAGCTAATCGAAGCAGAGCCAGCTCTGTTGACACGGAAGCGTCACAGAGAAGGTCTGATCCAGCTACTTGGGAGGTTGTACCAGGTGGAGGTGGCGGCAGAGGAGGAACGTCCTGAGGCTCGGAATGAGGAGGCAGCCGAGGATCCGAAGGATCGTGATGAGCTGCATGGTCAGAGTGTGGTCCTCACCGGCCTTACTGGGTCTCAACAAACCTTCAATGGCGAGGTAGCCGTCGTAGTCAAGGCGCGTGGAGACAAGCAGAAGTACGAGGTGGAAGTGAAGGGGCAAGTGGTGAAGGTCAAGGGAAAGGAGCACCTGCTGCAGGTATCTAGCAAGGGCTCGCTCGCGGCGGGTGCCTTCGTGGCGATCCGTGGCCTGCGCAACCACGTTGAGCTCAACGGCTGTGTCGCGCGGGTGGCAGAGTGTCATGAGGAGTCCCAGCGCTATGAGGTGCGGGCCTTGGACAGCGGCCAACTCTTCCGCGTCAAGAAGGACAACGTGATCCTCATCGAGACCACCCCCGCGGTCCTGGCAGCCTCGGCGGCCATGAAGGAGAACAGGGAGCCCAACACCTCCCCCCGCAAAGAGAACTTGCCCCCAACAGGGGAGGGAGACGACGTGCTCGAGGTGGGTTCTACCGTTGAGCTGGTGGGCTTGAAGACCGCCCAGGCATACAATGGTCAGCAAGCCGAGGTTCTCTCGGTGGATCAAGTTCGAGGCAGGTATGAAATCAGACTCGGTGATGGCAGCGTGAAGACAATTCGGGCCGAAAACGTGCGCCTGATCCAGGGAAAGAGTCCCAGAGCGAAGCGGGGCAGAGACAAACTGTTCTAGGCCTCGGCTAGTTTCACTCAAGAATTCACCCATGTGCTTTGCGTTCAATCTGCAAGCACCGGCTGAAAGGCATTCGTATATAAAAGGCTGTGTGGGGAGGGCTGCGCGGCATGTGCTTGCCTCGTCATCTACAGTCGCATGCGCCTTGAGAGCATTGTTGGGGGCATGCCCGAACGTGGAGGCTGGAAAGCAGAAAAGAGTGGAAGTATCGCTCTTTGCTCCGATCAACTTCGAGGACAGAATGCGCGGCCCTCGGAGTTCAGATTCCCAGAAGGTCAGCTCCGTAAACATGCTGGCCCATGATGGCCCATGACGGCCCCTTTTGCTGTCCCTGTGACGTGGCAACGCACGGCCCACGGTCCCAAGAAAGACGGTGATCAGCAATCCACATGACGAGGTGACCAGAAGGCATTCAATCAACCCGAGAAGCCTTAGTGAAACCACCGAAAATTCCTAAAAGCCCTCATCGCCAAACCACCAGACCACATGTACACACAGACCTAAACCCTAAACCCTAAACCCTAGACCCTAAACCCTAAACCCTAAACCCTAAACCCTAAACCCTAAACCCTAAACCCCTACTAAAAGGCCCACAGAGGCCCCTAGCAAGTGCCGGCCCAGGCTCTCCTTCAGAGACATCCTGGAGTGGGCCACCGACTTTGTGATGATGCCCTTGCGCCCGGGGCCTAGGCTGAGCTTTGGGTTTCAGGGTTTCAGGGTTTAGGGTTTAGGGTTTAGGGTTTAGGGGTTTGGGTTTCAGGGTGGCTTAGAGGGATTTTTTGTCTAGCGCATTTGAGGCTGCTTTCGGGGTCTCTCTGTCTTTTCCTCGACTTTTTGAAGCTGTCAACTTTCCCGGTTTTCTCGGGTTTCTGGGCCCAGCCGAGGCGTCACGAGACGGCAGCTGGAAAAAATTTTTGCCGCTTGGCCCGCACAGGGGTGAGCGGTTGGCATGGTCGTAGGTTCAGGCCCTAAACCCTAAACCCTAAACCCTGAATATCAGGCCCTAAACCTTAAACCCGAAACCTTCAACCCTGAACCCCAAGCTCGAAATTGCATTCGGAGTTCAGTCCTTTGTCCGTATCATCCCTGAACCCCAAGTGCCGGAGAATGATCTGATATTTTCCATGTAGTAGACATCCTTCGTTCCACCCGTTTTTTTGTTTGTGTGCACGGTTCCAGCGTGGCCAAAGCCGTTTTACCTTGCACCCACTTCAGCCCTTCGTGCGCAAGACAGAAGCCCTCGTCATCCCTGTACAAATTCCATCCAAAGCTACCATAGCAAACGGATACCCGTCCTATGTATCAACTGGCCTCTTTACCATGATCTATGGCCCTGGATCCTGCACCCAACCTCAGCTCGGGCGGTCCATGTGCGGAGGTGACTTGTCACGCAGGCAACATGCCTTCGCATGAGAAGTTTGCATCCAAGATCACGTGCCTTGGATGCTCTAAGCCTCTAAGCCCTGAGGCCCGCAGACACACACCCACACATGGAGTTCTTGCCCCGAGTCCTTGCCGGACTCGACTTGCCCGGCGCAGAGGGATACACAGCACCCTATGGTAGCCTTCTGTGTTGCGAGCACAATAAGGTATCCGGAAGCCGGGGCCCCAGTTCGGCACAGTGATGTGTTGCACAGCGGGCCTGATACCCGGAAGAGTACCTTGAGCACATGCCATGTGCACCTGGAGCCAAGTTTTTAACATTGATGGCGATGGTGGCGTTCTGCGGCGACACTGGCGAGCCCATGGACTTGTCAAGGCGGGGTAGAAAACTAGCAAAACCGTTAAAACCCTGCAGTCTCAGTATCTGTGGCCTCAGGAAGCTCATGCTCTGAATCCCCAAGTGCTCTTGAAGCACAGCATTGCCAGGGTGGATGGAAGCCGCGTTCGCGATGAGAGTCGCCGAAGCCCTGGCTCTTCCTGCATCTCCTTGCTTTTGCCTCCAGGTCTTCTTTGCAACTTCTGATGGAGTTCGAGGAACAAAGCTCTCTTGACTGAAGCATGCTCTTTTTAAAGGCACTGAAGAGGTGCGTTCTTGGCTTCATTGGCTCAAGCATGGTTAGCCGCTTGAAACCTCATCAACGGCTGCTATCGCGATCTCGACCTCGATCTTCGAGTTCACATCACATTGTCTTCCTTCACTACGAGCTCTACTACTGGACTCCATCATGGCAGTCCTCAGCTCATGCTACTCTTTCTTCACCAGCTCCACTACGCTCAACATTACGTTGCGGACGATGGTCCTGGCTGCTCTGACCTCCATGCTCTTCAACGCCATCGACCTGCGTCTGCCAGTTCCAGCCGCAGTGGAGGAGTTGACCGTCGTGGCGGTGCTCCTCTTTCTTGAACTTGGTCTCAGCAGCCGCCGCCAGGACAGCTCCACCAAGAAAAGCAAGCCGTGCCCCAGCGAACGGCGTGTCTACGAGGAGGTCAGCGGCCTTGCTGGGAGGCTCCAAGCCGCAGCAAAGGCCGGTGACACCGACACTGCTGAAGCCGTCATGGAGAGGATCCTTGCCGGTGACAGCAAGCCCAGCTTGGTTTGCTACGGGGCCCTGATCTCGGCTTTTGCCAAGGCGGGGGATGTGAAACGGGCCGAGTACTGGCTGGAAGCCCTGGAAGCCTCGAACGTGGGCAGCCCCAACGGGATCTGCCTGAACATGCTGATCAGCGCTTGCGCCAAAGCAAACGCCGTAGATCGTGCAGAGTACTGGCTTGTGAAGATGCCATCCTTGGGACTGAGCCCTGATGTGATGAGCTACAACGCCGTCATCGACGCATGTGCACGGACAGGGGATGTGGTTCGGGCAGAGCGCTGGCTTGAGAAGATGAAGGCCTCTGGCACGACCCCAAACGTTGTGAGCTACAGCTCCGTGCTTCATGCTTGCGCGCGCAGCTGCGATGCAAGCTTGGCCGAGCGCTGGCTCGAGCGCATGTCGAAGGAGGGTGCCGAGCCGAATGCCATCTGCTACAATGCCGTTATCAACGCTTGGTGCAAGGAGGGCAACACTCGGCGTGCCGCCCACTGGCTTGAGCAGATGTCCCAACGAGGTGTCCAGCCCACTGTCAACAGCTACAGCACGATCATCGACAAGTTGGCGAAGGCTGGCGACATTGACGGTGCCGAGACTTGGCTCACCCGCATGGCTGACGCTGGAGTAGAGGCGGATGCCGTCAGCTACAACATGCTTTTCAGTGCTTGCAGCAAGATGGGCGATTCGGCACGTGCCAGCAAGCTCTTTGACCAGATGATGCAACGCAAGGTCACCCCAAACACTATCTGCTTCAACTTGATCATCAATACACACAGCCGTCAGGGCGATTTTGCTGCGGTGCTTCGGCGCCTTCGCCAGATGCGAGAGCAAGGCATTCAAGCGGATCGAGTCAGCTTCAACACCAGCCTGAAGGCCTTCTCCAGGTGTGCAGACTCGAGGGCTGTGGAGCAACTCCTCGACGAGATGCTCTCCGTCGGCATCAAGCCGGATGTTGCCACCTACAACACCTTCATCGCCGTGTGCATGCGCGCCAAGGATGCCGCCAAGGCCGAGGAATGGCTCTGTCGCATGACGAGTGCCGGAGTGCAGGCCGACGCCATGAGCCACTCTGCTGGCATCTTGTAAGTAAGTCAATAACTCGGCATGATTTAAGAATCGGTTGGGGGGGGGGCTTGGGCAGTGGGGAGGAGGGTACTACTGCCAGCAGTAGGAATGTGGCAAATGTGAACAAAAGATAGTCCATGCGAGCATGAGTCGTGCCATTCATTCACAGTCCATAGGGCACAGCTGCCTCAGACCGGGAAGTGAAACCTTGCGGCTCGAAGGAAACTTCCTTGAAGACGGCAAATTTTTTCCCACACTTCAAGGCCTTTCCTTCGGCACGTCAGATGTTGCAGGTGTACCGATGCCTCTCTGTCATAGGTTGGACAGGCCTCTCACCCCTGTCAAACATCCATGTCGATCTCGGGTGGGAAGCGGTAGTGGCCGAAGGCTGTAACCAGGAATCGGTTATCGTGACAGATGGACAACAAATGGTCACAGGTACCTCAGGCTCTGACTGTGTCAACTTCAAATTTCACTCCAACTTGGGGTATGTGAACAAAATTCTCTGGCCTCATCGGGTGGGCGCGATCTGCCGCACCCACGGTTGTCTATTATGAGCCTGTACCATGGGAATTTCGCGATATGACAAGTCAACATGCCACGAAACGGCAACATGCGCTCGTCACGTCACTCTTCTCTGCCTGCGGATAGATTGGTACTGTGACGTCTCGAGTTTGGGTTAAGTTCGGACGAGAGTTTCGCCTTCGGCTATGCCCATTCATTGACCAGCGGCCCCAGGTTACTGCACCATGATCGATGCTTTTGCGCAAAGCGGGGACTTGCACCGGGCAGAGAAATGGCTCGAGAAGATGGAGCGATCTGGACTTCAGGCAGGGTTGCTTTCCCATGCGCCCCAAGTACACCGCCCCCCTAGTTACACTTCATGCCAAACCCGCACTCGACAAATTTGAGTGGGGGCTCGAGTTGCCGCACCATTGGAGCTGTGAAAGCTTTGTATTTTGGGGCGCGCGTGGCAAGCAAACTTAGTCAGCGCTTGATCTAGACCCGGTACAGACGCGGCCAACCCCAGATTCAAAGAAATTCTTGCAGGTTGGCGCCACGACTTATGGCCTGCTCATCAGATCCTCGGCCGCATCCGAACATCTCCTTCGCATGCCAAGGTGCAGCCAACCCCCTCAAAAAGATGAGCCCAGGTACCGTGGCGAAGATGGGCGATGTCGGCCGCGTCGAGCGGATCTTCGAGCGCATGGACCGCGCCAAAGTCGAGGTCAATGGTGTCGCTTGACATCACTTTTGACAGACTGTACCTATAATCAAGGAGGGCTGAGAGCTGCTCTTGAGCGTGTATAAATGGAAACTTAACCTGGAATTTTCGCTTGGCCCACCTCAGTCCACCTACAACGCGCTGATCTCTGCCTGCGCCCGGAAGGGGGATGTGGACCGCGCAGAGTTCTGGCTGAAGAAGCTCCTGAAGTCCAGCGCGCAGGCGGACGTCGCAAGCTACTCCTCGGTGATCCACGCCTGTGCCAAGGCCAACAGCTTGCGCCGGGCCGAGGCTGTGCACCTGTCATGTCGCTCATTTTCGGGGGCCATTCAAGGCTCCTCCGGAAGGTCTGAGTTTTTCTAAATGCTAATTGCGAGTATTTCGTGCCTCTTCACGCTTTCAATGGGTCAGGCCTGGATTGAACAGATGGAGCATGATGGCATCCAGGCCAACGTGGTGACCTACAACAGCGTGATCAATGCCTGCGCCCGCTGCGGCGACGCCAAGCGCGCGGAGCACTGGTTCCAGAAGATGGTGGCTCAGGGAGTCCAGCCGGGTGTCCTGACCTTCAATTCCCTCGTGAACGCCTGCGCCAAGGCTTTGGACGTGGATCGCGCTGAGAAGTGGCTTCAGGAGATGCCCAAGCACGGCGTCCAGGCAGATGATGTGTCCTACAGCACCGTGATCCATGCATGTGGCACTGCCCAGGAGCCCGAGAGGGCCGAACAATGGATGAAGCTGATGGTCTCTTCGCTCTGCAGTCAGGGCGAGAAGCCGGGTGCATTTTGCTACAACTCCATTGCGCAGGCCTGGGTGCGAGCCGGTGACGTGGACAGGGCCATGCACTGGCTGTCCGAAGCAGAACGCCTTAGGGTGGAAGTGTCCTCCGCGAGCTTGAATGGTGTGGTAAGTGCACTGACCCGAGCGCGCCGGCACAGCGAAGCAGAGATCTGGTCTTCCAAGGTGCGCAAGGATCGGGGCGATCGGGGCGATCGAGGTGATCGCCGCTACCCCCCGCGTCGCCAGGCTCCGGGCCGCTGAGATGCTGGGCCGCCACATGAGCGTGCAAGGGGAGCAGAGCGGCGTAGCGCGTAGCATGGCATGGCATGGCCGTCGAGTGCATTGTAGCAGCATGCCTCGTGGCTTGTCAGACTGGCACGCTTCGCCGCTTCATCTCCAGAAATCCGCTCACTCTACCAATGCATATGGTGCCTGTTGTGAATGCTGACCGCTACCGCGCCTTTCGCAATAGGTGCTAAAGCTGCTAGAGTGACCGCCACAACTAGTATCGCAACACCCTGCGCGAACCGCTGCGTCGCAAGGCATGGAGCAGGTGAAGAGAATGGCACATTTCCTTTGCTCCTCGGCACTGAAACTACTTGCCGCAGCACCTCTTGCAGCAGCTGCTTGTGCTTCTGGTTTCTCCAGGATGCCCAAGCACCATGAGCAGGATGCCTTTATTGTTGCCCAGCTGAGGCTTAAGTAATTCAAAGAAGGCGCGAACTGCACACCGAGACAGACAGTTGTAGACAGAGTGTTCACTTCTTCGTGATGTGTGTAGGAAGCCCACAAGCACTGAACCCTTCACACAAGGTACCAAAGCTTGCTTGAAATCGAAACTTACAGGTGAAGCTGCACCTCCACAATGCCTACCGCGACACGCACTACTGGAAGCTGAGATTCTTGGCTTCGAAATCCTTCTATTAACTTCTATTATTATATTATTTCTCTTACTATTGTTACTAGTATTATTTCTACTAGTATCATGCAGGGGCTTGTGCTACTTGGGTCTGGAGGCCGAAGTTCTTCGAAACCCCAAGCACGCTCAAACCCCTGAATCGTGATAGTTTGCAGGAGGACCGGGGGGGGGGGGGGGGGGGTGGACGTCGGCAATCCCCTAACCGAAGCCCCAAAACCCCCTAAGCCCCTAAGCTCCAAGCCCCAATTCTATGAAGTTAAGCCCTGAACCCCAAACCCAGGCGACGGCGGCGACTTCGAGAAGGCTCTGGGCTTCGGGGTGACAAGCCTGGGCTGGTACTGGCGGTAGGGTCGACAGGTCATGGGGGTTCAGGGTCTCTGGGGGTTGAGGGTTTTGAGGGTTTTGGGGCTTCAGGGGTGGGGGCTCAGGCAGGGTTCAGGCGTCCTTTCAGCTGTAAACCCTAAACCCTCCGGTCATCCGAATCCCAAAGCTTGCAGCTCTCTTCCCAGGAGGCCAGGGCTGCTGACATGAGATCCCGACCCCATTTCGAGGCCGGGAGATCGGGCAAAGGTTTGGGGGTTGGGGGTTTAGGGCTTCGGGAGGTTTAGACTTCACCGGGGGGTTCAGGGGTTTAGGGGTTTTGGGGCAGGTTTAGGGGTTTAGGGTTGCAAAGGCTTCGAGCTTGGGGTGTAAGGTTCCGAGCTTATGGTTGAAGAGTTAGCTTGACGGTAAAGGGCTCAGGGTTTAGGGTTGGATGGGGAAGGGTAGGGTTTAGGGGTTCTTTTTCTGGGTTTGGGGCTTATTTGCATTTTTGTTGGGGGTTGAATGCGTCATTTTTTTTTGTGTGTGGTTGGGAGCTTGACGCGTTGCCGCTGTGGGCGAGGGTTTGAGGTGATCGCCGCTCTTTGCGCCAGGTTGGCCGCCTGAAGAAAGTCGTCGAAGCCGAAGTTGCTGCTGCGAAGAAGTTTCTGGAGAAGTTCACTTGGACGAACCCGGACAATCTCTGGGAAGAGTTTGAGGCTAGCATGCGCTGGGCGTGTTATTTGGGGAACGGGTGGGCAGCTTCGTCTGTGCCAGTATCCCTCAACCCTGTAAACCTTCAACATCCCGAAACCCTAAACCCTAAACTCTAAACCCTTGACCTGCCGAACTCCAGACTTTCACCAAAAGCCGCCCAAAAGCCCCCCCAAAAGCCCCACAATCCCAAAAGCCCCAGAGCCGCCTAAACTCCCCCAACCCCCCAAACCACTAGGGTTTGGGGTTCAAGGTGGGGGTGTAGGGTTCAAGGTGTAATGGTTTTAGGGACCTAAGCCCTGCACCCTAAACCCTGGGTTAGGGTTCAGGGCTTAGGGGTTAGGTTTTCGGATGTTCCGATGATGTTCCCCCTTATACTCATAGTCCTTAATAGGGATGATAGTACTCCCAGCTATCATCCCTATGAAGGACTGTTAGTATAAGGGGCAACATCCCAAGTTTGGTCCAAGGTTTAGGGGTGGTAGGTTTTGATGTGCAGAGGGGCCTTTCTTCGACTTCGGCACCAATGTGCTGAACCAGAAGCCCAAGCGTTTCAAGATGCAGAGACTTGGGATTTAGGGCAAATTCTGGAGATTTTCGGGCAGGGGTCCAGCTCTTGATGAGCACTTCTTTGCCGTTTTTTTTTTCTTCTAGTTTAGGATGTCGTTAAGGTTGTGAGGCTTTCGGGTGGCTAGCAGAAAACAACGCTGGCAGCGGCCCTCGAGGATCTTTAATCGGGGCCTTGTGCTCGCGAAGCTGCGCCTCCAGCTGTCCAACACGGGGCCTTTGAGGCTGCCATGGAAGGACTGCATGGTGGGCCCTGGGCAGCATGTCACGGTCACCCGGATGCGGCTGGAGCTTTCCTACTTTTGGGGGGGCCTTCGGGTATGTTTCGGGTCCGAAGCCCGAGATCCGAAACCCTAAGCCCTGAACCCCAACCCTAAACCCTAAATCCTAAACCCTAAACCCCAAATTCTTCGGAGGTTGTGATCGATACAGCGCCTCTGGAGTGTGGCGAGTGGCATGGAACCATCCGAATCCTGGGCAGTTGGGTGACTTGATGGCACGCGGCACTTGCTTTAAATCAGGGTCCTGCAATACGGAGAATGTTTTTATCATGACAGGAAGTACTCTTGCTTTTCCTACTACGTACTATAATTGCGATGATTGTGATTGTTGTCATGATTATGATTTTGATATATGATTACAAACAGCACACAGCACACAACACACACACACACACTCACACACATTACACAACACACAACACGCAACACGCAACACGTAACACGCAACACGCAACACGCAACATGCAACACGCAACACGCAACACCACACACAACACACAAGACACGTTACTGTACACAGCACACAACACACAACACGGAACACAACACACAACACACAACACTCAAAACACGAGACACAACACACAAAACACAAAACACGCAACACACAGCACACAACCCACAACGCACAACGCACAACGCACAACACACACACACACAGAGCACGCAGCACGCATCATGCAGCACACAACACACATCACACAACACACAACACACAACACACAACACACAACACACAGCACACAGCACACAACACACAACACGCAAAACACAAGCCACAACACATAGATTACAAAACACACAACACAACACACACGGCGACACACAACACACAACACACAACACACAATACAACACACACACACACAACACAAAACACAACACAAAACACAACACAAAACACAACACAAAACACAACACAGTTCAAAGCACAAAACACCAAAACACAAAACCCACAACCAGCAAAAACACACACACACACAGCACTACAACTATATACACATAGCAACAAACACACAACACAACATGACTCAAAACACAGCAAAACACAAAACACAACAAACCACACAAACCACAACACGTCACAAACCACAACACTACACACATCACAAAAACACAAAACACAAACCACAAAACACAAAACACAAAACGCAAACCACCACCCACCCACACACACACACACACACACACACCCACGCACGCACGCACGCACGCACGCACGCACGCACGCACGCACGCACGCACGCACGCACGCACGCACGCACGCACGCACGCACGCACGCACACACACAAAGCACAGCACACAAAACACAACACACAAAACACAACACAAAGTACACCACATAAAACACACCACACAACACACACCACACAAAACACACCACACAAAACACAAAACACACAAACACACAAACACACAAAAACACACACACACACACACAAACACACACACACACACACACCAAACACACAAAACACAAAAACACCAAACAAACACACACACACACACACCACACAACACAAAACACACAACACACAACACACACAACACACACACACACACACAAAACACACAAAACACAAAAACACCAAACAAACACACACACACACCACACAACACAAAACACACAACACACAACACACACAACACACAACACACACAACACACACACACACACACCCACACAACACAACACAACACAACGCAACGCAACGCAACGCAACACAACACAACATAACATAACGCAACACAACACAACACAACACAACACAACACACACACACACACACACACACATACACACATACACACATACACACAGCACAGCACAGCACAACACAACACAACGCAACAGAACACAACAAAAGAAAGACACAGACACACAGACACAGCAGACACAGCAGACACAGCAGACACAGCAGACACAGCAGACACAGCAGACACAGCAGACACAGCAGACACAGCAGACACAGCAGACACAGCAGACACAGCAGACACGGCAGACACGGCAGACACAGCAGACACAATAGACACAACAGACACAACAGACACAACAGACACCACAGACACTACAGACACCACAGACACCACAGACACCACAGACACCACAGACACCACAGACACACCAGACACAACAGACACAACAGACACAACAGACACAACAGACACACCAGACACACCAGACACAGCAGACACAACAGACACAACGGACACAACAGACACAGCAGACACAGCAGACGCAGCAGACACAGCAGACACAACAGACACAACAGACACAACAGACACAGCAGACACAACAGACACAACACACACACACACAACAGACACAACAGACACAACAGACGCAACAAGCACACCAGACACACCAGACACACCAGACACAACAGACACAACAGACACAACAGACACAACAGACACAACAGACACAACAGACACAACAGACACAACAGACACAACAGACACAACGGACACAACGGACACAACAGACAGACACAGCAGAGACAACAGACACAACAGATCACAACAGACCACAACAGACCACAACAGACCACAACACACACAACAGACACAGAAGACTTGAAGACACAGACACAGAAGACTTGTATGTATGTTTTGGAGTGGCAGGGAACGGTGCATACGTGATTCTTTTGCCTGCATCTCTTCCCGAAATCAGCTGAGGGATAGGGTTAGGGATGATCGAAGATGAAGACGCAGACACACAGACACACGGACACACGGACACACAGACACACAGACACACAGACACGCAGACACACAGACACACAGACACACAGACACGCAGACACACAGACACACAGTCACACAGACAAACAGACACACAGACACACAGACACACATGCAGACACACAGACACAACATGCAGACACACAGACACACAGACACACACACGCACACACGTACGCACACGCACACACGCACACACGCGCACGCGCACACACACACACACACACACTCACACGCGCGCGCACACACAGGCACACACTCAAGCACACTCGCGCGCACACACGGACACACACGCGCAGACACACGCACACACGCACACACACACACACACACACACACACACACACACACACGC